CAAAATAAAAAAATTTCTCAGTTACCAACAAAAAAAAACAAAATATTAAAAAAAAAAGAAATTTTTTTTCTCAATTTCCAACAAAAAAAACACAATATTACACAAAAAAAAGAAAACAAAAAATTATCAATTTCCAACAAAAAAAACACAATATTATTACACAAAAATAGAAAAAAAAATCTCAATTTCCAACAAAAAAAAAAAAATTTATACAAAAAAATTAAAAAAAAATTACAAAACAACCACGACAAGGTGGTGGGGCGCCTGGCCAGGACGGCCGATGGCTGGTGGTAGCGCCAGGTCCGGCAGCCACGTCCACCGGCCTGGCGTCTGGGCAGGACGCCCAGCCACAGTGACTGGCGCCTGTCCCAAACGCCACTCACCGTGGCTGGGCGTCCTGCCTAGACACCAGGCCGGTGGACGTGGCTGCCGGACCTGTCGCCACCACCACCTTGCCGCCACGAGCCAACCCTCCCTCCTCCGCAGCCGCCGCCAACTCTTTTCCTTGCCGCCTCGACATCCCCGTACTTTGATTTTTTTTGAGGTTGTGTTTTTTATTTTTTTAAGGTCAAGGGCAATATTGTAACTTCAATATAAGTTTGCGGGCTTTATGTGGAGATTTGCGGGCGATGTTTAGCAATCCACTTGGAAGAAGGTATGTTGGATATAGTTTTTAGGGTTTTAATGTTATTGTAATCAACATATTACTAATTAATTTGGTAACATAACATAAACCAATAATAGTCATTAATTAATTTATAATGATATATTATATTGAAAGAATTAATTTATAATGATAGATATATCGTGTGAAATTGATATTGATATCTTTGAACCTTGCATTTGAATAGTACATGTAGTGGTATTTCATTGGTATTATATTAGTTAATATGAATTTCACAATGTAAAAATTTATTTCATTGGTACAAGTTCTTAAGCAAGTTATAAGGTGAAGAAGGAGAAGTGATACGACAACACAAGCAAAAGTTAATACAAGTTTGCTAGTTGGAGTAGGATTAATGGTTTGAGCCCTGACTTTGGATTTGGGATTGAAGTGTGGAGTGAATATTGTGGTGGTCAAATGAGTTCTTGGTATTCTACTTGATGAACTTGATCATGGGACTGAAGTCTCCATTGTATAAGTGTGTTATAAAATGATTTCAATCAAATTCTAATAACTTTAATTTGGGGTTCGACTTTAATCAATTATTTGAAAATTTTGAGTTTGATGAACTATACAAATAAGAACTACTTTTATTTTGATTGAAAAGGTACACATAGCACGCATAATAATCCCTACAAATGTAAACTATAGAACATAAATGAAATTTACAAATAAAAAATTTAGAAATTACTTATGTGTTAATTTTGTGTTAAATGTATTAATTTAATCTTTATATAATTATATGTATTTAAAAATAATATGGCATTGTTGTAGGACTATGGTGGAGACATAAATGATTATAGTGGGATTTTTGTACATGATGGTCCCTTCGGAGATGCTCAACAAGTGATTGATTGGTGAAAACAAGTTGCAATTAGATCTGGTTTTTCTTCCAAGAAAAAAAAGATTAGAAAAGATTTAATGTATCCTTCCAAATATATATTGATACCATAAATTTCTTAAAATTATATGTCACTCTGTTTTATTAGAGTTTCTAATGAATTGTTTTATGACCCTACAATCATTTTATAACATTATGTAATTTATCATTGTACTAACAATTATTAGTGAATGTACCAAAATACCCTTACATCGATGATACTACCACTAATGACGAGCTTATGTGGATGCCGATCAAATGATGCCAACTTGGTTTTTCGGTGTTATAAAAATGTTCGGATGGTTGTGGTAGCTAGATAAGTGTGGTGGTTGGTGGTGGTGAAATGAGCGATATTGGTGGTAGCGAGAAAAAGAAGAAGAGGAGACAAAGAAGGGAAGGGTAATATTGTCCAAAGAGTGGTCGACCTTTTTTTTTTGGTTCATATGAGCCACTTAGGGCGGGGATGAGAATCGATCCCAAGATCACCTGGAATCGGGAGGAAAGCTCTTACCAACTGAGTTATCCTTCACTCTCAGAGTGGTCGACTTATGGTTGCTATATACGAGCCTTCTATTTAAATAATATACGAGCCTGCTATACATTTTGGGGTATTTCATATCATAATCTCTTTTTGTGCAATTTTTTAATCTCTAAATATGATTAATTCCATATTGAAAAAAAAAATTGCAATATATAAATTGCATATTGATTTAGTCAAATCAAACCATAAATTTAAATCAGATAAAATAAGTTCATATCAGATCATCTCGAATAAGTCATATCAAACAAAAACAAGGTGGGCCCTTAAAGGTTAAAACCATAGCCTTGGTACAAGTAAATCGATGAGTCTGGACTCTAGAGCAGCAATCGACTGTAATCGGAGGCGTCGGTGTTTAGACGGTTAGGGTGGTGGTCGGAACTAGTACAAGTCATTTCTGTAATCTTTACACTCAGTCAACTGTATTGAAATCCAGGTAAATCACCCTCATACTTTATCATACAAATTTCTACCTATACATAAATTTCATCACAGAATTTCCCAGCAACTTTGGTATCATCCCACAAAAATTTCCAATCAAAAAAATATCAGAGCACTTCCCAATTTCTCCAAGACTGAAGCTTTCTATTACATATTTACAATTCTTCTCTAGAAAGTCCCAATTCTGTAAAATAGTGGTCAAGCTCATTTTACCTCAACTTTAACGATATTCATTTATCATTTAATACAATCCTGGAGGAATTGTTGTTTTGGTAAATCTCGATTTTCATTTTATGGGTTTCAATTGAAGGGTGCTTTTCATGTTTCAATGCATCTATTTGATTGTTATAATTTAGTGGGCGTGCTTAATTTTTGATTTTCCTAGAATTTTTTTGTGAATTTTTCGATTGTAATTAGTGGGTTGTTTTTAATTTTTATTTTTTTGCTTGATTAATCATCACAGATTGAGAAGGAAGCAAATGGGTAATGCTCCATCAACGCTTACCCAATATGATATTGAAGAAGTTCAAGAACACTGCAATAAATTGTGTATGGGGTTTATTTTGATTTTCTCTTATATTTTGTAGAATGCTAAATTTTGTCATGATTCAATAAAATATGATATATGCTATTGTTTTAATATAGTCAATCAGCAAGAGATAGTTTCTTTGTATCAAAGATTTTGTTAACTTGATCGGACTGCCAAAGGTTTTATTTCATCCGATGAATTTATGTCTGTGCTGGAGTATGCAATGAACCCTTTAGCTCAGGTATTGAGTGTGTAGATTTTGAGATCATACTCGTGTTGCCTGTTATGAATTAACTATTGATTAGGATTTTTTCGCGCAATTGATGTTATGAATTCGTGGTGTGTCTTTATGCAGAGGTTGTTGAAGATGGTTGATGGTTTAAATTTTAAGGATTTTGTTGCATTCTTATCTGCATTTAGTGCCAAAGCAAGCATTGAGCAGAAAGCTGCCCGTAAGTTTTCGATTTTGATCTTATAGATTTATGTTTATCGGGGATTGCTAATGGTTATCTCAATTAGTTGTTGTCTTCATCTTCTAGGCAAGAGTGCTACCTCATAATTTTGATTGTTCTGCTGCTTGAGTAATATCTCAGTCTTTGTAAATGGAATAAGGTACGGTCAACATTATGGCTAGCAGAACAGCCTATCCTGTTTTTTTGAGTTAATTTTAAAAACCTGATGGGCTGTATGACTGTATCCTTCCTGTTTTTGTTTACTTTAGGATTACATATGGATTGAAATATTGTTTTTTGAGAAGAAGGATTTTATTTTATAGGGCCAACATATCCTAGGGGTTTTCTAAGTTGACTAGTGATTTTCATCGTTAAGATATTATACATAATTAGAATGACACCAAGTGAATACCATGGCTTCCACCCATGGCTGAGGTGACAATCTGGCACCCTTTTTATAAATTTTTAGACAATAAATCTTTAAGAGCTAAGAGCCAAAGACTCAATTAACATTATTGCTTCCTGGAACCAGCTTCTATTTACTTTGCCTCTGTGAGGCCAAGAATTTGTGGCACGTTAGTAGACCTCAAATTTTGAAATAAGTTATTGTAGACCCCAAATGATGCAATTAAAATGTACTGAGGAAGTAAAAGAAAAGTAGTAAAAATAAAGATAAATCCTTTTTGTTTATAGATGTGTAGTTAAGTATTTGAGAATCTGGTTAGATTATCAGTCATTGAGTTAATCAGTGACTATCACCTTATCTTAATGTGTGATTATTTTGTAGATTCTCTCTCCCTCTTCTCCTTTAAATTCTTTTAAGGAATGATTATTAACTCTTCTGTGGTACTTGTATTAATGTTCCTTTCAACATAACAATTTGTTAAATGACACCTGTGTAAGCTCCAAATTTCAGTGAGTAGCTATAGTAAACAAATTCTATTGTCTCTTTTGCAGTTATTTTCAGGGTTTATGACTCGGATGACAATGGGAAGGTGACTTTCAATGACATTATAGAAGTGCTTAGTGATATAACTGGTTCATTCATGACTGCTGAGCAAAGAGAGATATGGGCAGTTTTACAACTACATTCATTCTTTGCTTTTTATACAGAGTTCATGTGGTTTGATACAAATGCCATGACCTGTATAAAATTTCCAATGGTGAAAACTACTAAAGATGGTTGGCTTAATTTAACAGAACTCTTTTTTCTGTTTTATTCTTTACCAGTTACTTTTCCATTGCACGATAAATACCTATATTATACATAGCATATATAATTTTATTCTTTACCAGTTAATTACCTGTTTTTTTACCAGGCCACAAGTATTCATAATTAGAGATTTTTGATTCCCGATCCCCATAATATTTTTCTTCCAGCTTTTTTATTAATTATTATTATTCTTTCATATATAAATCAAATAAAGTAATATTTTAAATATTCCTTATAAACATATATTATGGGAAACTTTCTATCCATTTTTTTTTTTGACAAATCTTCTTATAAGATATATAATCTACTATTATATTTTTTTCCCCTATATTACCATTGTCCTTCTATATATACTCAGTATATATTTAATTAAAATATTGTTTCAAATCTTTATTGTCTTTTATATTAAGAAAAACTAATTTACATGCAACAATAAAGGATCATCATCCATCAACCTAGGATCTCCACAATTTTCCTTCACTCTCCAAAACCCTTTATAAATACCCTTCAAACCCACGTTATCAAAAACACCTTATTAAAAACCCTACTCCCTTTCTTTTACTCCACAAAAAAAAAAAAAAAAAAAATGGCAACAGATAATGTAGTACAATTGTTGGATTTTTGGGCAAGTCCATTTGGGATGAGAGTGAGGATAGCATTAGCTGAAAAAGGAGTGAAATATGAATACAGTGAACAAGATTTGAAGAATAAGAGTGAATTACTACTTAAGATGAACCCGGTTCATAAAAAGATACCAGGTCTTGTTCATAATAATAAACCGGTTTGTGAGTCTCTTATAATTGTTGAGTACATTGATGAAGTTTGGTCTGATAAAGCTACTTTGTTGCCTTCTGATCCTTATCGTAGGGCTCAAGCTCGTTTTTGGGCTGATTTTGTTGAGAAGAAGGTAACTCTTAAGAATTTTAACTTTTATTTTTATTTTTATTAGCCCGTCTCTTTTCAAGCGGTCTGATCGGAGATTATTAATGTGTTTAAAATCAATAATTAAAGGATTTCGATTAAAAGTAGTTATGGTAATTTATAAGTGAGTATTTATTAATTCAAATGGAAAAAACAAGTAGGACATTACTAAGTCTACCTAATTATAAAATGGTGAGTTTGATTTTCACTACCACTACTCTAGCTAGTTGAAATAGGTTCATTTTGTAATAATTTATACGTTAAGTTAGATGAAGATGTATGTCCAACATTTGATCAAATGACTAACATTTGTACAGATATACGATACTGGGAGGAGAGTTTGGACGACTAAAGGCGAAGATCAAGAGGCGGCGAAGAAGGAATTCATTGAGCACTTGAAGGTATTGGAGCAAGAGTTAGGGAACAAATCTTACTTTGGAGGAGATGAATTTGGGTTTGTTGATATTTTTTTTATCCCATTCTATAGTTGGTTTCACGCCTATGAAACATTGGCCAACTTCAAGATTGAAGAATCTTTCCCAAAGATCATTGAATGGGCTAAGAGGTGCATGCAAAGGGAAAGTGTGGCTAAAGCTCTTCCTGACCAAAACAAGGTTTATGAGTTTATTTTGGAGTTAAAGAAGAGGTTGGGCATTTAGAGAAGCTGCTTTTTTGATGCTGCATTGTATGGTTTGGTGAGAGTAATAATGTAAGGCGTATATTATCGTAGGATTGATAATGTTATCTTATTGTATGGTTTGGTGAGAAGTTGGTTTTTTATGCTATATTATTGTATGGCTTAGAAGTTGAGACTGATTTATTTGAAAACATAAAGCGTATATTATCGTATGAATAATAATCTTACTCGAGTGTTTCTAAGTCTAGTGTCTCTTGTTACTCCTATGAACCCTTTCTTTCAAAATATTTGACGCAATTTTATATTCTCTCGTCCCATAATTAAGTGTCCGTTTTTAATATTTCACAAAAATTAAGAAAAGTGTAAAATCATGTGGGTATGTAGTAATGAGAATAGTTACAAAGAATCAAATTGTATTATACGGAATATTTTACTCCGTATTTTTTAGTGAATACAATAATATAAAAACATACACTAAAGTAATAAAGACTAGCTCAACATATAAATTAAAATAAGTAATTAATATAATGACTAGTATAATACTATAGTATTTAACACTAACAATATATATTGATTAGATTGTCTAACAAGTAGGGCTAAGCAAAATTATCTGAAAATCCTAATCGAAAATTAAGGTACCCGTCTCAATAACCACAACAATTCGGGTACTCGATCCGATAATTTATTATTGGGTACGGTTATTGGGCTTCATTTTAAAATTAACGGTTATCCGATCCGATAAGCAATTTTTTTTTCCTACTTAAATCTATTTATCCAAAATCTAAACTCTTACTTTACATCGTAATCACTTCATAATTTAAATGATTAGTAATTATTAGGGGTGAACATGAGATAGGTTCCCGCACTGTTACACTATCGGTTCGGATACCCGATAACCAATAACACTAAAAATGATATCCATTATCCGAACTTCGGGTACCCGAATTTTAGGAACGGTTATCGGGTATCTAATATGATATCCAATAATGAAAATTTAGACTTTATAATATAGTTATTATGATATCATTCAACAATAATATCACATGATCATGACCAAATTACTAATAATTACTAGGGGTGAGCAAATTGGGTAACCGGTCAAAATTTTAGGACCCGGACCCGAAATTGGTTGGGACGAGGTCCTAAATCCGGAACCGGAATTGGAATTTGTTAAATCCGGTCCTAAAATTTAGGACTTAGAATTGGAATCACTGGATACCGATTTCGGTTTTGGGTACTCACTTATGTATATAATGGGCGAATGGTATACATAAAACCTAACGATCAATCATCAACACCAAACAAAAAAAATCACAAAATACAAACCCAAAAAGAGTCGCAAATTTGTAAAAACAACAATTGAATTTAAATTGAAGCAATCAGTCAAAATCTAATCTAATAACAAGTCATTAACATTAAAAAATCACAAAATACAAACCCTAAACAAGTCGCAAATGCTTAATAATAAAATTCACCAGGAAAATCCAAAACACAACAATTGTACATGGAAACAATTAAATCAAAATCAAAATAAAAAATGAAATAGCACTAACCGTGAAAAACTGATAGATCGAAATTCGTGAGGTTGTGTGATTTGATGAGAATGAAGAAGATTATCTCTCTCTAAAATGCGGAAGTTTGTGGAAAACTTGAAATTGTGGTTGGGGATAGCCTTATAAGGCGCAGGAAGGTTCTGGAGAATGCTGATTCAGATGTTATTTTTTTTATTTACTCCTATTTTTTATTCCGCTTCATAAAGGTGGTACCGCTAATAGCAAATAATTGAGTTCGTATTATTTTACACACACGTTAATAGTTGGTATTATTTTAAGCCAATTTTTCTAAAAATAATCGAAAGTTGTGATTATTTTGAGCAAATGAGGCAAAATACGAATTATTCTGAGCAATTTTTTCAAAAAAAAACTTTTTTTTTTTTTTCATAAAATTGGGTTCGCACTTAAACCTACCCTAAATACGCCTCTGGCTGCAGCCTTCCCTCTCTTTCTCCTCCATTGAAGCATACTCTGAAATTCTCCATTGAAGCGGCTTCTGAGCTTTCTCCCCTCCATTGAAGTAGCTTCTGAAACAAGGTACTTTCCTTTTAATTATCGAATATCAATTGTTTAATTCCACACTTTCGTTAATTTAATTTTCAATATACTCAATTTAGGGTTCAGATGATTGATCTATTGTAAGGGCGGAGCTAGAAGACACTTGTCCCCCCCCATTTTAAAAAAAAAAAATATTTAAAAAAAAAAAAGAAAAAACACGCGCTGTGCTGCTATTCTGCTAAGAGCCTAAGACAGAAAAAAGAAAACAAAAACCAAACCCTAACTTTTCAATTTTCAGTTTCTCTCTCTTCGAAGGCGGAAGGTCTCAAGATCGCCATTGATTCGCCGTCGCCGTTCGCCGTGCGTGGTGTTTCAGGCGAAAGCTCGGCCAGACGCTGCTTCCATTGGCTGCTTCGCAAATCTCAAATCTCAAATTGACAAGTTCTCACTTCGCAAATCTCTAGTTCACTGTTCGCACTTCGCAAATTCAATTGGCCAATTCACCCAAATCAATTAATTAATGGAGGTATGTATTATGTAAATCTGAATTTCATTACTTGTTTAATTGTTTTATAGTTTATACTTTTATTGTGAATTTGTCATTTGTGGGTATTGAATTGATTAATGATTATTGAAGTTTTGAATTTTGGACTGAGTCCGCCGCTCTCGCTCGTCGGCTCCACTCCCGGCACTCCGTCTCAACGGCTAAATCGCTAGACCCAATTCACGGTATGTAAATCTGAATTTAATCTCTGAATTATTAGTTTATTACTTGTTTAATTGTTTTACCGTTATACTTTTATTCAATTATTCTGGGTATTGAAGATTTGAAGTATTGTAATTTTGAAATGTGTTGGTTTATTGTCTTATTGAAATCTCTGAATATTGAAATTTGTTGGTTAATTGGTTTATTACTTGTTTTTTCTTCTGTTTTTGTGAATTTATTGAAATAATGAAATGTATAGTTAATTTTGTGAACTTTTGATTGCATTTTTTTCTCCTGTTTTTGTGAATTTTTTGAAATGTATAGTTGAAGTAGAATTTAAGGATTTATTATTATGTAATGATGTGGAATTGTGTATTGTAGAAATTGATGTATACTTTTCAATTTAATTAGGAAATATCAAAAGATTCACCTAATTCAAACAAATCCAAGGCAACTAGTCAACAACCCGATCTTCGACAATTCTTGTTTAAAAGATTGAAACTCAATGCAAATGAGTCAAATTTAAATATTAGGTATTAACCAATTTGTGTGTTTGATTTTTTTATTTTAGTAAGCTTTTTGTCCAAGTTAAAGCTTTTTGTCCCCCCAAGTTGAAAATCCCGGCTCCGCCACTCATTATTTGTATATAATTACTCGAAGAATTTAAGGTTTGCTAATTAAGTCAAATTTGGTTGCTAAATGTGTTGCAGTCCTCTGCCCATATACAGAAATGCCGCGAACAACCACAATAGAATGCCCAGGTTGCCCACCATTAAGAGCCCTAACTTTCGACGTACTTGGCCTTGTTAAAGGTACTAACTTTAATTTTAATTTATGCTTAATATTACCATACAATTTATTCATTTCATGGGTGTTTTTGTTTTTTTATTTTTTTTAATTTTTGTTGAATAATTTCCTTACAAAATTGTCGCCATTGTTGTTCAGTAATTGAAGCTCGGAGTAAGCTAGATGGAGTTCCTAAGGTTGTAGAGAGGTGGGGTGACCCTGATTCCTCTAAAGCTATCCTTGCCGCTTCTATCAATGACCGAAAATCCAACCTTGTATGTATGAGTTTTCTGTTCCTATGTTTATATTTTTGCTTATGATCTTACTTGTTTGTGTGCGTGTTTTTGTGAAGTTAGTGTATTGTGATGAACTTGTTGTTTTGGTTTATGTACTTTGTTTGCTTAAGTCTAATTTTTTGTGTTATTGCCGGACAACGTCTCCTTAATGCGTTTGAGGACTGTATATTTGTTTCATTAGCTATATTTCTTGATGAAATGGAGTTTTAGCCTCACAGTGCATGTTTGGGATTGTAGTTTAACTATCCCTGTGTTCTATTCACTTAATTTATATAAGTGGAAATAATGTGAACATGAACAGGGCTTCGTTGTTAGAGTATGAGTTCAAATTACATCATCAGTTTGACGGGGAGGGATGGAGCTGTATTCCAGGGGTGTGCCGTGTCATATACTTTTTTGTCTGGTTTAACATGCTCGTATGCCTTAATTTCATAGGAAAAGTTGTTGATTTTGTACATATTATGCTACTGCATTGTATCTATTCAATTGAAAATCTTATAAATATTGTTATTGATTGCTGCAGTTGCTAGCAGTTGCCAGGAAAAATGGTGCAGTAAGTTGCTTGCTTCCCATGTAAACACCAATGTAAATGGTATCATGCGTATCCTGCTTTACGCTCATAGTTTTTGCTGCGTTGTGTACACGGTATTGTACTATTCAGATTGAAGTTTTGAGCCCGGTTACTGGAGAGTTGTGTTTTTCAATTTGCGATGATGGTGATGACACTTCTCCATTAGATGACCCGATTGCTGGATTGCATTTATTTAAAAAGCGGATGGTAGAGTCATCATCAAGGTAGGTCATTTTAACTCTCTTTGTATGACATCAGAAAATAAAAGTTTCTTTTTGGTTTTTAAATTTTGACCTGAGTTAGTAAAGGATACAATGGGGTCACTGTGGTGGTATTAAATTTATCTCTATATGTTTTATGTGTAACTAGGTCGTGCACCTTGCTTTCTTGTACAACTAAAGGGAAAGCAAGCTTGAGGAGAATCGAAGATTTTGATTCACACACTGGTTCTGTTTCTTTTGCTACTCCAGAAACGTGGAGTGTGTGCGGTTCTGGTGAGATTTGCTGCTCCAAAGTACATGCTGATGAAGGCTACTCTGTGTTTGGAGGGTAAGCCTTGTGTATTCAGAACTATATTTCTTAAGAAATTTAAAAATTAAGATCTTTTACTGTTTC